GGCGCGGTAGAATTCACCGTCCGAACGGCTCCATCGAGGCTCCACGTCGGATTACACGAGTTTTTGGCTCGCGATAAGCGTTGGCGAAACAGCGTGAGTTTATTCCCCGCCGCGTCGGCGTTTTCGCCTATTTGGCATAAACGACTTTTCTCTCGGTGCGCGCGTTTTGTTCCGTCGGCTTTCACCGCACCGCGTAAATTACGCGATCTTACGCTTACCCGGGAAATCCGAGTCGCGCGCTATTCTCCCGCCGGGTTACCGTATAAACGCGAAATCGCTCTCTTATTTACAAAATTATTTTGCCACCCCGGCGAACGAAATGTTTCCCAGCTGTCGCGCCATCATGGCGTGTGCGGATAAACAAGCGTCGTTATTTATAACATTCCATGTTTTCGAAGTGCACCCGCACGGGGGCAGCGACATTTTCTCCACCGCCCCATTGCACGCTTGGCGTTTACTTAACAATGAAAATACGGGATAACGAATGTTTCTCAAGACGATCTCTTAATTTGCGTTAAGACTCCGGTGGCTCGGCGCTGAGCACAGTTGTGTAACACTCGTGCCATTAGCCTAATTTCATAACGCAAAACACCGCAGGGACCTTAGCGTGCGGTAGAGCGGAACGGCTCTCTCCAAGGATACTCCGAACTCCGTGACGATTCGCTGTCAAGCATGAAGCCGGTTAATTATGCATACACATGTTAAGCCTTCCTTGACGTAGCGAGTTGGCGAAACGCTGTTCCTGCTGTTTTGTCTGTGTTTATGCGCACATATATGGAGTTAGCGAGCCAAACTTTGCGACGCGCGTCGCTCGAATTCGCCCCCGTCAGCTTCGCGTTACTTCACTCTGATATATTCTATCTGATATATTCTATCTGATATATTTCGCGAAGCTGCAATTTAACGTGTAAGTTTTACGCACTCGCTATCTCGATCCCTCTGCCGTAATAAGCTTCTCACGTCATGATGTGACAGCGAGTCTCCTGATATCAACTCTCGCCGCGCATATCGCTGTGACTGAATTTCCCGGAAATTCAGTCATAACGATATTTGCCAAATAATAACATGTTATTATTAAATAATTTGTTATTTACAACGTCATTATTATTGTTTATAAATTATAATAATAGTATTTATAATTTACAATAACACAATATCGATTATTAATGTCGTTGTACAGTTATTGTTAATAATGCGTAATAATATTTGTGTATAATAATATTTCGTAAATCAATAACGTTTGCGGAAATATCTGGCGCTTCTGAATTAAATCGAGTCGCCTAGCACCACATGTACTGTAATGTTTAGTAGGATCTCTCTTCGTGGATTTTCAGGTTTCTTTTTGTGGATAGCGACGTGCAATGCGCTCGAATTTCGCCGACTTCACACGCAATCGTTGTGTTTATTGATTCGTAACTTCAAAAAACTAGTCTCGCAGAAAATTATCTAGTTACAAGAAATTAGCTAAGATGGGTAAATAACTAGCAAACGCTGCGAAATCGCACATGTCATGCATTTAATCGGGTAATATAAATGACAGAGACAGAATTTCTGAACTATTTATGACATTTAGCAAGAAAGTCTCTCTGTGTGGCGCCCATTCAGATTAAAGCCAGTCACATTTTTGCTAAATAAAAATCGACCGTGGCAGACAAAAAACTAACGACGAGAGACGAGCGAACGTATAATCCTCACATCCATCTAAATTTGCTTGCAGATATTGCTAGAATGCTGCTGCTGTAAATTCCACGCACTACAACGCGATTTTCTAGCAAATGCAAAAAACAATGATAAATTTCAACTATGATATTTAGAATTTTGGAATTTAAAATTTGAAATTTAGAAGATCAGAGTAGCGAAATATTTCCTTTTTAGTGTAATAATAATTACAGCCCTTTCTATGACGGGCTGCATCTTCTTTATAGAAAAATGCGATCCTTTTTTGCATTGTATACCGAAAAAACGTCGAATTCACGAGTCAATCCCGTCGAAATCGGAAAGATGATTAGTTTTGCGCGGCTTTCACTTCATGAAATTATCGATGGGAGTAGTTTTTCATTTGCGCGAATGCGCACTACGAACGCAATCAAAATCCCGCTTTTCGTATTTTCTGCGAAATACATACGCTTTTATTGCGATTACGCGCGATCGCTGCTGATCAATTCATCCTGGCCCGTCCATTTTTGGCCAGCGCGCACGAAGAGAGCAGAGTTTATCTAATTCAAAATTGATATTAAGCTCTGCGTGTATCGGGTAGCAAACAGAGGGAAAAATCGGTCAAAAATTGCTGAAAAAAAGTGAGAGAGCGTGGGCGGCGTTAATTAAAAAATGACGCGGTCCGAAAGCGGCACTTTGCGTCGGAAAGTTGGCTCGGTCGGTTTTTGTGACTTGACCGTATCAAACGGCGCGGCAAAAAGGCCGCGATAAACTTTCGGGACATATTCGCGTTTATTCGACTGCGGCCACATCTCGACGTATGTTTGCCAAGCCGGCCTCTCGCTTTTTTGGCGCGTGTTTACCTCTCGGCGTGTCGTCAGGCCGACGAGGGCCGTCCGATCGACGACCGAAACGGACAGGACGGGAAGTCGCGGGCGCATCGTTGAGCGTCCTCGAGATAAGTTTGTGCGAAACCGCACGCTCGAGCTATGCGTCGAGGAAATACTTTCGGTTTATTAGTATGCCTTATACAAGTTGACCGACGACGACATGGCGTCGCACGTGGCCCATGATGGTCCCATGTAACTGGTACCGTCTCCATATGTAAAGAAATGCATTCGAGTAAATGTTACTTGCTTCAAGTATACTTTATAGGTTTACATTATCGCGAATTTGTTATAAGTTCGTCGGTCGCACCTTTATTCTGGATCTTACAAATCTGAGACAAAATTCCATGTCTACCTGAACAAAAGCACATTGCCTGGAATACAAATCACATCCGTTCTCGTCTATTTAGGCGAAGTTATCTCTTCATTACAGAAGTGTTGCTTAGAGCAGCAAATTGAAAATAACATATCATTCGTTCTTACTACAGGTTTATTTGCTGTCGACTATTTGGCCATTTGTCGCGAGTATGTTGTTAAATTAGCAAAATTTTTCTCCTTGATATAGGAAGTTTAGTATTTCAATAAAGAATATTAAATTGGAACAAAAAATTGGGTTTGCTTAGTTATATCGAGTTGAATCAACTTTTTCTTCGATAAAGTTTTATAATATTCTTGTAAAAGATAAAACTTTTTCTCTCTTGAGTACATGATAATGAGCTTTTCTCAAATTTGTGATGAGTATATTTTAAGACTATTATTAAGTTATTCTTTGTTGAAGATAACTTGCATTACTTATAAGAAGCAGAATAAATTGAGCAATCGCTTTTCTTAGCAGTGGAATGATATTTTTCTGTATGCAATGATTGCTTTTTTATGACCAAAGTAGAAAGTCTCGCCGTTTTATTAAATGGCAATTTTGTCGTGACAGTCATATCTCTCTCTCGGATGTCATATAATAGATGTGACTTCTTTATAAGAAGACGCGTCTCAAAGATTTGAAAGCAATCGTCATTTCTTTTTCCACTTAAGGTTTATTTAACGTTCGTGACTTTGAAGAATCGGAGAAAGTTATTAACAAGGAGATAAGTATCTATGATAAGTATGATTGATGCGTGTATAATATTGATCCTTATATTAAATTCACAGTGTTTCAATTTGAAGAATCGATTTGCTTCTGGTTTTTTACCGTAAAATTCATGAATTTCGAATCGATTTGGCATATCGAGGCGCCGTCGGTCCAATACATTTCTGCGGGCAGAAATCTGGATAACGGGCGTGCCGTAATTTGTGCGGCTTCAACTTGTACCTTGGACAGTCAGAATCGAATGGGATCGTGCGGTTGCGCGGCGACGAAATAGTCCCGTTCGTCGTTAGGAAACTCGCGGCAAATTTCGCCCCGAAGCCTGTTTAAATCGTGAAATTATTGCCGCCGAAGGTCATCACCGGCTTCGAGGCAAATCGGATTGGAGCCAAGTACCCGGCAAAGCGGGTTCGAATTATATTATGTTGAAATTAATCGTCAGTGATTAAAACTAGTCTGGCGGCAAACTGATAAAGCGGCACGATATCAGTGCACGATGCATTGCCTGGTTTCTCTAATTTTTTAATTCGCGGTCTTTTCATCGATATTTTCAATCGATCCCACGATTTTGCGTGGAAAGTTGAAAGCTTTCAGAGCTCTATTTGTTTTTTGTTCGATAACTTCGATAATTGTAACATCACGCAAAATAACATAAAATCGGACAAAAATATCATGCGTCTCCTCGTTGCGCGCAAATTGCCACACGTGTGTAAAGTCTACTTACATCGTGAAATTAAGCACCACTTAGATTTCATCGGATCCCTTTTTTCCCTGCTTTATCATACCTTCATTTATTTGCGCGACGAAGTTTCATTTGACTTGCGAGGAAACTTTGTCGATCCGAATTCTGCGAAGTTAAATACCTTCAGCCTCAATCCTTTCGCTAGGAAAATGTAAAATGCTTAACTACTTACCTAGAAAACTTTCTAAGTGTGTGCAAAGTTTCACCGGGCGAAGCGTCTCGCAGCTGAAAGCTTTCAGCGCGTTATATATACGAGCATAATAATCGATCTATATTCTTATTTCTTTTTGTTCTCACTGGTAAATCCTACGATGTAACATTTATTTTCCGTTACGAGAATAAGATCTCGAGCATCTTCTTACACTTTCCTGCGCGCACAGGAAAAATCGATGGCGAATTGATCGGCGAACCCGTCCGATTGCTTCCACGTGATCCCGTCTAACACGGCCAAGTTCCCCGAGTTATCGCGAATGTAACGATCTCTCTCGTCGGAGCTAAGTCCATGCTCTCTGGAAGTAAAACGGCATTATTAAATTCGACGTGTTGCCTCACTCCCATGCCTTACTCCCGTCGCATTAACAATCACACGGAAACGCGGGGCGATATTAAACGGTGCCGGTTCGCACATTTTCAGCACCCGGAGCGCCTCTGTTGATCCCCGAGGAGTGTAGTGCCGAGAATAACAGCGTCACCGTCGCCTGGCAGCCGCCACCTGGACACGGAATTATGGGCTGCGCCGGACAGAGGGGTCCCGCCATCGAAGGATACCTCTTAGAGCTGGATGACGGCTGCGGCGGGGAATTCAGGGTGAGTAAACATTATATGTATCCCGAAGGTATTGCACCGTCGAGTCCTCCTTGTCCGTCCATTCGAATCGGGATCGCCCGCGAATTCTTCAATGACACTTTACTCATCGGACCTTTCATCCTCGTTCTCGTTCTCTCCTCGCCGATGTCCAACCGCGACTGTTTCCTCGCCGACTACCCTCGGCGATACAGCCTTATCCGACGATGAAACGGCGGCAAAATTCGACGTTCTGTCGTGAAATTGTTCTGCAATCCGACGGTCGGACGATACCGAGACTCAGCTGACTCGCGATAAGTGACATTTGACGTTTCTTGAGTCCCCGATGAAAAGAGAGCGACGTGTCGCTTTTCCGTCAGGGCGCTAAGTCGTCGGGTATTTTTCGAGTATTGCGTCGGGAGAAATTGCTCTTCTCTAAATTTCTTGGGATGAAATTTCACTTAAAATGAGTGAAAAGTGGCAGTACTTTTACTCGAAGCGATAGTGAAAATACTGCTACCCGCATTCACAAGGATGAATGTTTCCCTCAAGCTTAGGAATGGATCCTAACGCCATGTTAGCCAATATTTCAATCGATTAAAGCGAATATGTTCGTCTGACGGTGAAACACAGTTGGTTGCAAAAATAAAAAAATTGCAATACTTCGAGCTGTCAGAATTGTAAGCCATTTTTACTATAGTAAAAATATGTAACTATAATTAAGAATAAAAAAATGCGTAATGTTAGGACAATTGAGGCGTAAATTAATATTAAAAATTGAGATTCAGGATCAGTTTAACGTGGAAGGTTGATTTACCGCGTACGTTATAAAAGACTGAAAAACCCATCCGGCACGTGCGATAACACTGTCAAATATTATTATCCTCTCAACATTTAGAAATCATTCGAATTGTCGAATGACTCGACAAACATTCGACTTCTTAGATAAAATTTCACTCCAGAAAATTTGCAGTGTTCGATCGAGGATAAAGGAGCGATGTAATTCTTATTTATTTATTAGAGAATCGCGACAAATCGCGACTTTGCACAGAAGAGCTATTAGAGGGTAGTAGCGGAACTAATTTTGTTGGATGCGATGGCGCGAAACTATCCACCAGTCTCGCCCTCGAAAAGTTACGACGAGTTTTCCTTGCGCTCTCGGGCGAAAGAAAGTTAGCCGTAGCGCAAAAATAGTCAAAAAGACGAATCGCATGAACGTGGCGGGAAACTCTAAAAGATTGGATGTACATGTTGGACTAAACGTGACGGTGTAACCCAGAGGGAAAGAAGATGCAAGTTCTCTTTCGCGAAATGTACTCGTTAAAATTCTACAATAGCTCTCTCGCACTTGACTATCTCTTCTTGTTTTTCTGAGATGCATATTTGAATACAAACTTGTTAAATTTTCAGGTTTCTTGGAAGAATAAAATATCGCGCGTGAAAAAAAAATATAACAAGTTTAAAAGTGATTTAAATCGAATTTTCTCGTAGCTTGTTTACGTTATTATCCTAAACTATTGTCTATTATTAGTTTTTCACTGCAGGATATGCGTCTGCATAATTTCATCCGCGTTTGATGCTCAACTTCAAATTTTATCATGACTTTTCATAAGACAAAATAAAAATTCTCCCAGATACAATATAAATTCTGTTTGGAATACCAAAATTTGTCTCAAAATTGTAAATTCCAACTGTAACTATTAATACTAACTGAGAATTCCATTCTTGTCTTAAACATAACTTTCTTTGTCTAGAATCGAAATAGAAGTATTATAGAAATTCGTGATTTCTTTCAGTTGGTAATGTCGGTATACTTATATGGTACTAAACAGGGAATTCCATTTTTATATTAATTATTGTATTCAATACAATGAATTATTAAAAAATAGAATACTTTCAAAACGTTTTGAGCTGAATTTCACTGAATAATGGAATTATTTGGAAAGTCAACATGTCTTATTCAATGCTAAAATAAAATCGGGAGAAAATATTTAGAAAACTTTAGGCTCCCAACATATGCCCAATTTTACCAATGTCGATTAAGTCTTAATCTGAGTTTAAACTGTTTTTAGACAAAGATTTAAACTCAAATTAAGATTTAATCGACGTTTAAGGACGTTGGTGAAATCGGGCCTTGCATGTTTGAAACATTAGACTTCTATCCAGAGCCAATTTTTTGGGAAATCGATTCCAATTAGATCACAAGAAATTTTTTATGCAGGTACCCTGTCCAAATAGATCCCCAGATACTACCGTTTAATAAAACCGCGGAGGTGAAATATATAAAGCCGCCTTTCAATTTACCGGAGGATAATACCGGCTATCGTGTGACACTGAAGCGCGGGCGGAATCAGAAAATAAAAAAAAAAAGAGGAGAGAGAGAAAAACGACGGTGACACGATCATAAAGTCCCTACGATGGAAATTTGTTGCGCGCTGCGAAATGAATATTGATGCCGATCGGCCATAAAGTTTACGTTCTCCCCATAGAGATTTTCGTTACGCCACTCGCATCTCGTTGCATCGTACGGGACGAATCGCTCGCACGAGCCGCAGCCTGCTTCGCGAAGGGCGACGTATATCCATTCGGGTGCGTTTCCGGCCTGGCGAGGTCGCACGTCGCATTTATTCTCGGGCCGGACTTTGCCCGCCGGCCTCGGTTACGCCGTCTTTCGCCTTTTATTGATCGTAAACGCGGGCGGTAGCGGACACCCTGCCTGAAAACGTGGTAGCGATTACGGCTAATAACTCAGTCTAAGCAGCGCGCAGACCGCGGCATAAAAGTCGGGATTAAAGGGTAGCCTCTCTCCCGGAGCGAATTCAGGGCGCGAGATTGAGAAATTTGGGAATTAGCGCGCCGAATAAAAAGGGAATTTGGAGCACTAAATTTCTCTCAGTCTCGGGACACTTGCAGCAGCAGTGGAAGCAGCAGAGGCAGCGCGTCCGGGAGAAAGCGCGAGGCGATAATATCTCTAATTATCCGCGCGATAAGAAAATTATGCGCGGCGTACGGGATTCGTTTTCACACTCGAGGCCGAAATTTCCGGGGTATGCACGATCGTAGCGGAAGCTGCCTCGTGAATGAAGATCTCCGCCTCACGGTAAATAAAGATTCGCCATTGAAAGCGCTAATTGAAAACCGTAATTCCAAGATTCCGGGCTTACACGTGAGAAACGAGCGATCCTCCCGGACGACGGCAATTATTAATTGCCCGTCGCGATATAGTCCCGTTCATTACAAGTTTTTATCAAATGACGGTAGTTCGAACCGTCGTTTGCCACATAATCCACGATATTAATGTGGAGCAATCTACTGGCGGCGGTCGAGTTTCATAAGGCTTTGTCTACCACCGTCCTGAAAGGAAATAAAATTGCACGAGGAGAGGAGAGAGAGCCACTTGATATTACAAAACTCGACGCCTCTTCGCCCGACGTCATTTTAATATCGACGATTCCCGCCGCCACGAGTGCTGGAATACTGCGAGAGAAAAGAGAACAAGTAAAGAATATACAAGTATAGAACAAGTAAAATAAAATTAATTAAAGTACAGAAGTATAGAATTAAGTACAATAGAGGTATCTGCTGTTTTGTTAATGGGGATCGCGGTGGTAAATTTCACGAGTACAATAACAACTTCTGGTCGTGCTGAATTATAGAAAATCGTCCGTTTTATTATTAACGCATCCTCCCTCGCGCGGGATTACACGATTATGGGAGGGGTGTGTGTGTGCGCGCTTTATTATTAAAGCACTTCGAGCGAGATTACTCATCCCTCGTGCCTTTCAAGTCCGCCCCATCGGAATCGGCCTGCGCGCGAAACATAATGCTAAATCCGCGAGAGATTCGACGAGAATAGCACGTAGTACGTCGTCGTGCCGTGTATGAATTCACACTGAACGTGCTCCAGGCCGGGCTTGTAAATCGTGCGTCTAAATTTTCATGCTTTGTTAATAATGCACCCGGCGGCGTTGCGATACGGCGCTCGTTAACGAACGGGGCGATACCGCGAATATAAATCGTCCTCGTTGTCGGCGCTCTCTTCGTCCTCCCTGGCCCCCCTTTGCGCCGTCCGTCGCCAGTCCCCCTGGCGGCCATCGGGATCGCGGGCGACCCATCCTCCTCCTTTTAATATTTAAATCGAGCTCGTTCTCGCGGCACGACGCCTCGGGTTTCCCGGTTTCTGGTTTCCGCTTCCTCGTCGTTCGTCGCCGCTCCTGCGAAATTGTTCCGCGAGCTTGCGGCAGACATCACCGCCAGGATCCGTCCTTTGAGTTCCTCGCGTAGTAAGGTGTCGAGTGAAATTTTAATTAACATTGTCTGGACGGGATTATCAATATGTTATTGCGTGGATTGTTGTTTGCTTATATTTGACGCCGGCTGAGGATGATCCAAAGCGAGATCAAAGTGTACTTATCGTAATTAATTTGATCTTGTTTGATATATTTGTATTTACATTTACTTCTATTATGAAGAGGGATTATTTTAATATTTCGCTCTAAGATCAGCTTTTGGCTTTTACAATTTACTTTATTATTCATATTTATTCATTTTGTGTAGTTGAACATATGATTACACGGAAAAAAAGATTTGGTTGAACTAACAAAATATCTGGTCGAATATGAACGATCCAGAAATTCCGATTGAAGTAACCCGAATTCTGTTTAAGTTAACAAGATTTTTGGTAGACTAACCAAACATGTCTGGTTATTTAACCAGACATGTCTAGTTAAATAACCACAGACATGTTTGGTTAATCTACCAAAAATCTTGTTAACTTAAACAGAATTCGGGTTACTTCAATCGGAATTTCTGGATCGTTGATATTCAATCAGATATTTGGTTAATTCAACCAAATCTCTTTTTTCCGTGTAATTTTTTTCTGTCGATATATCTGATTCTGAGGCACGCATCTTCTGGTGAATCTTATGCTTTATTCAAGCCTCGGTAAATTATTTAGTAGCGTTGCAATCTCGTATGTAATTTTTATTCGTAGTTTTCGTTATCAGACAGGAAATTGTATCGCGAATGTTATCAAATATAAAGGGAAATATACGTCCATCACAAAGAACAGTTTATTGAAATAAATTCTTCGTATGATTTCGATGGTTGGCGAGACTTTTATCTCGACGTAAACCTGATAACCTCGGCTTGTTTATCTGTCGGCCGGCCAATCGATGTTAGCTTGACGTTTCCTTTAGGAAAGTCGACACGACGGGGAAACTCCGCCGGTTATCCGCCATTCTCGTTTATCCAGCTCCTAGACGAGCGACGACAAGATTCGCCGGAATCGCTCGCCGCAGTGGACTGGAGTTTTCCTCGATCTGAACTAAACATTTCAATCTAAACTTTGCAGAGAAAATCGACAGTCTTCTTTTCTTCTTGAGTATTCTTATCGAGTAATGAAATATCACTCCAAAGAGTAGTGTTCGTGTTTGTTATGTAGGCGCACATTAATGAATAATAAAGACTCAGTTCCAGTCGTGGACGTAGAAATAATATAAGTATATCTTTATGTAGTTTACTATTGCATCGGTCAACAGTCCATTTTGCATCAGAGATAAAAGTCACCAATACTTATTAATTTTGCTGAATCCAAAAATAGCAAGCAAAGTGTTTCGTTGGTAACGATTTTAGAGATGCACGACATTGGGTTTTTACATGTTTTTCTCTAAAATTATTATTGTAGGAATTTGAATTTTTCACGTGATCGCCGACTGATTGTCGAATCTTTTAGAATTATGTTATTGCAGTATTATTGTTACTAAACAAACGAGAATAGTAGACGGAGTCGCGAGTCGCCTATTGTTGAAGCGGAAGACGCACGAGCGAACAAAAGACATCGAGGAATCAGGCCGTCAAATAAACAAAACGAAGTTTAGATTTCTTGTGTGCTATAATCTCATAAACTTGTAAAGCATATGAATCATACATCGGATGCAAAGTGGAAGATGATAATAAGATTTGAATCACTCATTTATTATTGTAAAACTTGCACATCGACCTTGCAGTACTGGTTAAAGGGTCCAAATCGATCTTCCTCAAAAATTGTTACAAACTAAATTCGTTTATTACTGTTTTCTTGTTCAGGGCGTTTGAATTGGGCGAAAGATATACTAAAAGTTTGCTCGGCGCAAACAAAAAGTTAACAATTATTAGCCAAATAATTGTTCGTAAAGAAACTCGGTTGCGTTCCAAAGAAAATTCTCCGATTACATCATTTCTGAAACGATGCAATTAATCACACGTGCGATACATTGCTTCTTTGCGTGTTCAATTAGCGGAAACGGTTATCCGATCACGGTTTCAGGTCGCGTATTCACGAGTGTCCCGTTTGAAATCTGATTCGCAGGAGGTGTACTGCGGCCGTGAGACGATCTGTACGGTGGACGGGCTGCACTTCAACTCGCTCTACAACGCCAGGGTGCGGGCGTTCAACAGCGCGGGCGAGGGCGAGTACTCGGAGCTGATCGGCCTGCAGACCGCGGAGGGTGAGATTCTACCTTTCTTTTTTGCAACCCCCTGCTGGAGGGGGAGGAAAGGCCTCGGCTGGAAAATCGGCTTCGGTGTTGCATGGAAGACGAACGATCGTGACCGACGTCGATTTTCCAGCTGCGCGTGTTTTTCCGCGGCGCGATCGCGTGATCGATGAGATGGACGTTGGACGGACGGAAAATTGCGATAGCGTTTTTCACCGTGTGACGTCCGCGGAATAATGCGGGCGACAATTACGAATGATTTCGAGAGGAGAGACACTTTTATTCGCGCGTCAGCTTCGAAAACCGACGTCCCGGAAATGCAATTATCGACTCGGTTATTACCTGTCATTTAACTTGGCCAATGCTATTTTTATCTTCAATTCCTTCACTATCCGAAGCGAGGAATTAGGTCCATGCTGTTGTCATTTAGTTATCGAACCATTCACGGACCATTCATTCATTGCGCTAAAAATTGTGAACGCTGATTCTGAAATCATTTTTTTGTGGGTTAAATATTGACTAGTACTATTTCTCATTACATTATTGTGAATAAATCGCTAACATGTTTAGAAGAAAGTTATTTTTTCCACACATACTAAATGCAAGTCACCCAGTATTCGTCGTGCGAAGCTAAATCGGCAATCATGTTGCGACGAAACCTAAATCGAAGTCTTAAATTATTTAATACGGCGGAAGAGAGGGTGGGACGTTCTATCGCCCTTCTCGCGTTAAATCTCACAATCGCGTCACGTCGACTTCCGTATCGAATACTTCAATTATTTAGCGACGCAGAAAATCACACATCCCTCCTTCGTTCGTCCTTCTTCCCGCATTAAGATTCCACAATCCCGTCACGTCGTTATATTAACATCGAGCGGTGCGACGTCGAATTCCCAATATAATCCCGCACCCGATACAGCCTGCGCGCTCGCGCCCGCTCGAACGTGTAGTTCGTTAAGCGTGCTTGCGGATCGAGTTCGCGGAATATTAATCGAAGCTACAGCGAGGCGTACCCTCTCTGGTCGACAGTGGCGTGGTTCTCGTGGGCGACCGGGGCAGCCGGCATACCGCAGGAGGTGTCCATATCCGAGGACGCGATGAGCGCGTCCTGCGAGGGCTACGAGCATCGCGTGGTCCTCTCGAGTGTCGGCTTTTCGCGGGGTGTGCACTATTGGGAGCTGACCATCGATCGATACCACAGTGACACCGATCCGGCCTTCGGTATCGCTCGGGCCGACGTGTCGCGCGATCAGATGCTGGGTAAGTCCTTCTCCTCTTACTCCTCTCGCCTCTGCCTCTATCCCGAAGCGGAAAATGTCGTGTGGTTTAGCCGGCATCGATGAAATATTCATGCGTCACCCGGTACACCCCGGAGATCCCCAGTTTGTCGAAATTCGGAGGCGATATATATATATATATATATATATATATATATATATATATATATATATATATATATATTTCGTTTTCCTCCTCTATTCCTTTCTCTTTCTCTCTCTCTCCCTCTCTCTCTCTCTCTCTCTCTCTCTCTCTCTTTCTATCTATCTATTTGTACCTCTCATTCTCCGTGTCGCCCCGGATGAGGGTGACAACGACGAAGAGATTCAAGATCGGAAAGTGCTCGACCGCGGTTGTGCAACGAACCGGAAGAGAGGGTTACTTTAATCCACGGACACGCGAAACCGGGTCAACGCTCTTAGAGTTGATGAAATCCGAAGACCGCTTAGCCTAATGGATTTGACGGAAATTTATTGTACGGCAACTCTAACATTACGTCTCTCGTGATGTTTTGCGTAAATGCACACCTTTCCTAATGTTTTTCACAAACTTTAATACCAAATTAACAATTACTGCCTTCATCCATTCCAATCGCTCTAAACTAAGAGAAAGTATAGCAGCCTAAACTATATCTCGGAGGTGTCAGATCAAGCTTAGTAAAAAATAATCTGAAACATCTTCAAACTATTGCATTTTAACCAAGGCACGAAGGATTCTTTCTTTGCACGATACTCCTCCTGTCTGTCCTTTGTATGACACTCCAAACCAAGAAGAAAATATAGCAGAGTCTAAGCTATATTGGAGCCCTTAAGTTTAACAAAACCAATCTGAAACACCTCAACCATCACACCTCAACCAAGGCACGAAAGATTCTTCCTTTGCACGATATCTGTCTGTCCTTTGCATGGCACTTCAAACCAACAAGAAAATATAACAGTCTAAACTGTACATTGAAGCTCTCAGATGTGTCAAGCTTAACAAAACCAATCTAAAACATCCTCAAATCATCGCACCTCAACCAAGACACGAAGGATTCTTTCTTTACACGATATCCATCCTGTCTACGCTTTGCATAGTAGATAATTCGTTGCGAGCACACAGCTCGGCCTGGACATCTCCCACCCCTCGAGGTGGCTAAGTACGATGTTGCGAATCGTTTGTCCGTAGGTAAGGACGATAAGGGATGGAGCATGTACATAGACCGACAACGCTCGTGGTTCATGCACGGTGGCGGTCACGCGCAAAGGACGGACGGTGGCGTTCAGCAAGGCTCGACTGTCGGCGTGCTCCTCGACCTCGATACCACGCACACGCTACGCTTCTTCGTCAACGATCAGCCGCAGGGTGGTATTGCCTTCCGCGATCTCTACGGCGTCTTTTACCCGGCGGTCAGCCTGAACCGCGGCGTCACGGTGACCCTCCACACCGCCTTGGACGTGCCGCGTCACCTGCTGGCACTTCACGAAGAATACGTTAGCGACATCGTTCAGAGCTAGGGGTACCTTAACGTCCTCAAGAAAGGTCTGTCGCAGGAGATTGGCGCGCCCTTAGGCTCGGTGTACGTCGACCGGTGCAGGGACTTCGAGTCTGTGGGTCAGTTATTGGAGAGGATCGTCGAGGAAAGTCCGGTTGACGTTAACTAATCGACAGATCGTTCGCGCAAGGCCGACGATCGATTGTAGTCTCGGCTTTCTACGACATTTCTTGGTCTCACGTCGCCGAGATCTCCCACAATCAGTCTAAAACGTCTAACGATCCGAATGGAAACGTTTTTCGATCCTATCGCGAGATTGCGCGGCAAAAAGGAAATAGTTCAGTGTTCAGTTTCCTCGGGGACAACGATATATGTTATGCGTATATATGTACGTTAGATTTACCTCAAATACGTGCACTCGCATCGCCCATGTTGAAAGGAAAATATTCATTGCGAATACCCGCGATCTTCTGCAGTTGAGGAGGGTATTTTCCGGCGGGATGGGAAAATGTTGCTCGTAAACTCTCGGCCAGCGTAATCGCGAGAGTTAAATGAGGACTGGTCTAACTTTTTATTCACGACTCGAGAATTTGTTGTCCCCGAGGATGTTAATCTGGACGAAATTCGTTCCGTGTTGTACTCGCTTGAATATAAACGGATTCCACGAGAGGAATAACGATTCAACAGGTCCAGAAACTTGGGCGAGAAGAGGTTTCCGAGGGAGGCGTAAACCGTTGACCTTTTCGGATCCGCCTTGTTCAAGAAACTGAAACTTAGAATCGAGACTGCAGTTGAAATCGGAATCACTTTCTCGATTTCACCCGCGCGATCGAGAATCGCGCTGAACGGAGAACATCGACAATATCGATCTCGAGTCGCGAACAGCCAAACGAAAGAAAAGAAAATACAGGACATATTTTAAGATTACTCAATTGTACCGAAGAAAGAAAGAGAGTAAGCAAACAAGCAAGCAAGAAAAAAAGAAAGAAAGAAAGACTACTTTATTCCGGAGAATCAATGAGACTGAAATATATCATTCACGCACACGTCGCGCGATCCACGAATAATATCTTACGTTAAGATAAAAGAGATACCAACATAAAAAGATCCCTCCGACACGCAGCAAATCAGTCCATTTTTTACTTAGGCCGTACTCCACGAGGGCAGAGCAAAGAAGATATTTTTTCCTAATGCTCCTAAAGTACATTTCTTTATCTCAATTGATTGTCTCGACGAAAGAGCTAACGCGCTTCGGAGGGCCGTGTCACACACGTCGGTTTAACTAACTTCAACTCCTCGTCTACACTGTAGCCGATGTCGTACGATCTAAAAAGATGTGCATTCGTTGGCCAAATTAACAGATACTCAACCGATGACGGCCCTCGGAAACAAGGAGACGTCCATTAGCAAATAGCCAAGTGTCGTCGCCGACGAACTTTGTTGAGAATCGTGTGACAGGAGACGCGATCGATCGGTCGATCCTGTGAGAAGAGTCGCCCCGAATAAAGCGTATCTCAAATTGCGGAATTTACCGGTTGATAGAGGGAGAAGAACTTGAGCGACGTATCGTTCGCTCTCCGGTAGTCTCTCTCGATACTTTGGTTAGGGAACGGCAGTTCTTAGGATTTCTTACTCTGGGGAGTGGAGTCGAGACGGTGCGCGAAGAGAGCACCTCGAGGGCCGGCACAGAGGCCATCGAGAAGGACCTCGAGTACCTTTTTCCGTAGCGTGCGCCAGGTAGACGATAAAGAAGCTCGATGGTTGCGCTCCCACCGTGCGGTGTCTGTCGTGCCCTTTCGTTTTTTTTTTTTGTCGATCGCGTAATTAACTCTTTCAGCACTTGCCGTCGTATACATGAGGGACGCTCGCGACGATTTATCGATGGCGAGGTATCGTTGGCTTCGTTAGCTGTTGATATACGCGTCATTGTTGAGGGCACTTTGTACATGTAAGAAAAAAGTTTGGATTAATCGAATATCTGGTGAAATACGAGAGCAAATATCTAGAATTTTTGTTGAAAAGTTTCATCAGAATTCTGTTCAAATCAACAAGATTTTTAGTTAACCAGAACTTACGACTGTGTCGAACTGCTGAACAGTTTTGCAAGTTAAGACTCCTGGATACTTGAGTCGTCCTTCTTTTTTTTATGACGTCAGAAGCAAGAAAACGTATGCTAAAAATTCTTGCGAAATACGTCGAGATAAAAAGATATATCCACAGAATGATACTTGCAATCGATTAAGCACACCTCTAAAATATTTCGAACGCTTTTCTTTTGCTCTAACAATCAATAAATAACCATAAAATTAATGTGACAACTGTATTTTTTAACCTAATTTCCTCGTTAGTCTGTCATATTTATTTTACGATTATTTATGTTATATTATGTCAAATCTGATTTGGTTAATTAGAATCTTGTTGACTTGAACAGAATTCTAGTTATTTCAAACGGAATTCTGATTCCTCCATATTTTTCACCACCATTTTTCACAGATATTCGATTAATCCAACTAAACTTTTTTTCCGTGTACATTCACGATATTAATGACTACGTCGGCATGATATAACCTTCCTGTATTTTACAAAATAATTGAGCAATTTTTCGATGGGAAGATAGTATACTGCCTAAAGATGTACTTTCTGTTTTACAATGAACATAAAATTTATTTCTCCGGTTAACACATTTCTCTCGTTCACCGAGCTGAAGCGAACGGAGTGCAGGACTCGGTATTTCGTGGACTTCCATGTACTTCCGTGTTTAAGCCGGTGCTGAAACAGTTAATGGCCGGACGAGGTCGCGAGCATTGAGTTCCCCGATCGAACGCTGACGAGGTCGACGCGATCGACGACGACGACGACGAGGTGGCGGAGGATCGGCCACGAAGGCCGATAATTATCCAGCCGGCGAAGAATCGGAATTCTGTCCAGGACAGAGCTGACCGGACGATTCTTCGTTCGGTTTGCGCGATCGACAGATCGCTCGATCGTCCACCCATTATCCATATCGACACACGTATAAGTGTAATCGCATAGGCGTTAAGCTCTATTAAAGCGTATAGAACAGTAAGGCGTATAAAACAGTGCTGCCGCGGCTTTAGTGTACAATAACGAATCGAGTATACGTTTTCTAGTCTTTGATAGAGACCCGATCGAACCCATCTCACCCGTCTGTTTATCCTTCCTCGTACCCCGAAATCCCGCTGTTTCTTTCTTTTTTTTACGACTTTGTATCTTGACAGTCAGGAGAACAACAGGACGTTTGGTCCCTGATCGCGCCCGTAGACGCGAATTCTCCGTTATATTCCGACGTAACGATAAGCCGGAAGCGTCGTCCTGCAACGGACGTCGCGTTGTTTGCAACAAGCGCGCACCCCTTCCGGCGCCGTGTACATAATTGTACATATACGTATGACTATCGATTGTAACGCCGATGAATTTGCCGATTGTACCATTTACGACTGTATCGGATCAATAAAACGCAACGAAAACGCCCGTGCGACTCGTGCCGTACTCGTGACCCCTCGATTCTCCCTGATTCCGCCCTCTTCGTTCTCTTCGTCCTGTCCAGTGGTGGATTAAGATACTTGGAGGTCCCGCGTGTATCACGGAGGATATTGAATCAAGGAAATTTCATGAGGAGCATTAAATATTACCGCTTCGTTAACGTTAACTATTGACGTTAATTATTGACATCGGGAATAACACGTGTTCTCTCATGATATATATTCAACGATTACGAGAGGAAGTTCGCGCATTTCGCGTGCGAAAATACCAATTTCGATATAAATATTGTGGAATGAGAGTTTGCGCTGCGCATTTCAAGGAGCCAACCGCGCGAGTCATACCCTCGTACGGTAATCCACCACCGGTCCTGCGCCCTCCCACCCCTCCACTTCGCCGCCGCTTTTCGTTCATTTGATCTGAAACTTTTGCAACACCTCTTCAGGAAGTTCTCTCGCCGGCTCCCGCAAATTGCAACGAGTGCCGGCCGGGAGGGAAAGATCCGGCGGAAAGCGCGGCGCGAGTTGCGTCTGGGAGCGGAATAAAACAAAAAAAAAAGGGAGAAAAAGGAAAGAGGTAAGGGACGCGACGAGCGCGAGCGAGCGAGTGCCCCGCTCGGAGAAAGTACTAACGCGGTCTGGGCGGACCCCTTTAACGAATGCAATTAGCCGTCGCGGCTGTGGCCGGATCATTTTTCCCCTTCGGGCGTTATTTTATATCGCCTTTGCCGTAAGTTCGTTCAAGCACGGCGCTTGATTCGATTCGGAGATTGGAGGAAGGACGCGGCGCGCGCGCTTAGGGCTAATCGATTTCCGTCTTTTTTGCTCGTCGTAGCTCGTCATCGCGACGGGACGCACCTTTTACGATGGCGATGCTTCTATCGCCGACGGCACTTCCCCGCTCGCATAGAGTCGCGAAGGCGACCGAGAGACGTCCTGACATTCGTCGCGGGTATCTTAACGTCTTAGATATCAAACCGCGCGCCCGAACAAACTTATGACAATGGCGTCGTCAAACGCGCGCGCGAGCACGGAGAATAGTCGAGGGATGAAATGTAATTCAGCTTTTATGAAGTTTATTTTATAAGTATATATAAAACTGTGTGATATGCAGAAAGGTAAGTGGTTATTCGAGATGCAAAATATTGAGGGAATTTTCTGGTTTCTATACGATAGACTAATCGTTACTTATTCGATTTAAGCATAACTTTTTTTACTAGATTAAGAAGAGGCAATGTTAAGGGAAAAGTAGTCTCTCTTGGTAGTTTATTTTGTGCAGCAACGAGTCGCTACGTCGAAAAGCGCGTCTACAAAGACAGTTCTACTGTCTACTCTTTCGCGCGCTCACATAACTTTCAGAAATGCGATAATATGAGAGGGAGGTATAAAGTATCGCCGGTTTTACGATACGCAAAAAACATTATAAAAGTTGTTCAATGCCTCCCTGGGAAGTTCTTGTCCCCCACAAATTACAGCCGGCAGTACTATTGGGAAGAAAGATGGCCGTGGCGTAAGTTGGATCTGCGGAGGGAAAAAGAAGCATGGAGTGTCGTGCGAAAGAGGCGCTCCGAGAATACTGTTACTGTTAGGATTGGCTGTTTCCCGGGGGAAAGAAAAAGAAATGTCTGATGAACTGCCGGTGTTTCGCGAACATGATTAGTGATAAATCAGTTTTACGCTTTCGACCACCGACTGGTATAACATACGTGAGTCGTAAGAGAACAATATTTAGGAACGTAATTGTTGACAAAGTTGGTGTCGATCTACCTTTGGTAGGCAATTAAATCACGTGTTACTTATCATCAGAAAATCAGTCAATTTCGGATTTTACAACATTTCGATGAATGAAATTTCTAAAGCGTTAATAATCAACAAAATTTGGAATTTAGTTAAATTGATTTTATGTTGAAGAAAATTTATACATATAATTTCAACATCAACGTCCGTATTATTCAATATCCGTATTATCCGTAAATATTCAATAACGGGAACAAGGCGCGCGAAATACTTGATTCTATCTCGAGTGGCCTCTGAGAAAAAATCCGTTTTCGCAGACCGATCAGAAAGAATGTTCACTTCGGGGTTGCCGCAAATCTTGAAATCCTAAGTAGCCTTTCACGAAGATTTGATGCAAGCCACGGAAGGATATCGAGTTCTAGACAGAAAGTAAGTCCATGTATTCTTCTCGCTCGTTGACAATAATGCAACGGGGATTTCAGTGGATAGAAGTTCCACTCTTTTTTTTATCTTCCTCTTTCGAAGAAAGTACACTGCAGCTTTCGAGCTGGAAAGTTAGTTTTGGAAAGAGCCGGGACTCTGTATCGTTGTAGGACGATACACATTTATGTAACGACGAAAAATGTTCACAAGTAGCGCGTTAAATGCCGACATCGTGTAAGCCTGTGCTCTTCAAAATGTTCCGCACGGATTTAAGGGATTCCACGCGCTGACAAAAATTCTGCTCTTTAGTACGCCCACAATCGCAGTGTGAATTACGTGTAGCGAGTTGAACTTTCCCACTTTCGCATTTGATTATAAATCAGAGATCTTGCGCGTATCCTTCTTCAAAATTTTATTTTTAAAAATTTGACACGCATCATCGCGAGTAAAATAAAAAAGAAAGAGTATACCGCGCAGACAACTACTGAAAAATATATCCTTTAAAAAAATGAATAATTTCGAGACGTCACACAAATAAAAAAAATGTCATAAATTTTCTCTCTCCGATGTCTAACCGGTAAAAATATTGATAATTGTCAAATGAGAGATATCACCGTAGTGTTTCGCGATAATTTCTAGAAAAAGATCAGGTCCTCTAAGGTTAAAGGGAATAAAATCCCACGAACAATCATGCCGCTATCTTACATGTTCTCCGACTCCATGGCTGCAGCGTGTCAATGATTAACGAGCGCTTCCGGAGATGAAATGTTGGTTCTACATTAATCTTGCAAATTCCGCCCAACATGACCAAAAGACCAATGGGAAATCTCGAAATATAGCACTTCTATTTAAGATTAAGGATTTATTTAACAAGTATTTAATGTTCGATCATCTCAAGAGATCATGTCGAGTCTCCATGAAGCGTGTAAAGAGGACTTTTAGATTTAAGAATTATTTAATGTTCGTTTATCTCAATAATCTATCTGCATTTAATCCTACATATATATATATATATATATATATATATATATATATATATAAACTAATAATTTAACTAAAATTAATAAATAAGTAGATAAATAAAACGGCAATCTATCACCTTCTATAATCTTTTTATTGTTTTTTTTTATTGGTGATAGAAATTTCAATAGAACTTATGAATTTGAGAGAAGTGAGAAAGAAGCAATTATAAGCCTTGTCCATGAACATAGTATACATGGACTCCGAACGCCCTTTGTTTTATCGTCTAATTGAGTGGAGCCAATCTACACCTAGAAAGAGAGCAAGAATAGGGGCTATAATTTTCTCCCTATTTTGTTATTTTTTTTGTTGCGCATGCATACATTTCTCGTTTTCATAATATTATAGAACGGCACCCCGATTAGACTGACAAGCAAAAGTCTTACTTAAATCTTATTACATACTTTGTCTATGCAGAAAGAGACAGAAAACAGAGGGGCTATACATTTTGGCTTCACTTTTTTGGCTGTATGCGGAGTCTATGTATATTATGTCTATGGTCTTGTCACACACAACACACACACACACAACACACTAGCTGTCACTACATCTTGCATCCTGTGATTCGTCCTGGAGTCAATTCTTGATCGACATCATGGCCAAACGCTTAACGTGGTACTACATGAAAGCAAAAGTCGATCGGAAACACAGCACTAGCTGAACTTTAATAATAACGATTGTGTTAAAGTTGATAGAAAATTGAGATTAACGTCGTGTAGGCGTTCTTAAAATTATCACAATGCATTGGAAGATTCACCCATGGAATTTTATTTAAGAAAGTCCGAAATATTAAGAAGCGTTAGTCTTGTGATTTTTTCTACCACAGAATGTTTACATCATTGATCGGAGTGTGACAACAGTCTGACGGTTGACTCTGTTTTGAAAATGTCTATTGTTTTGATACCGTCGCACGTTGCGTACTTGTTCGTAACTGAGTCATTACATCTCGAGCCGGGGAGCGACGCGTATACCGAGACGCGGAGCAAGTGTGTCGATGCGTTGTTTACGATTTCCGTTGGGTGATTTAAACGTCCCGTCGGCTCTTATAGTATATTGTCGGGCTGTTGTCGGCATCGAATTAGTTAGTGTGTGTCCCTCCGATCGAATCTCGTTAGCACGCGAGTGTCAGTGCCGGTAAGTTCTGGAATCAGGAACAGAGCAGCCAGAAGTCAGGATTGAGAAGTTGCAGGATACAGGCAGCGATGTGTCATATATTTCCAGGTATGTAAAATCATTAATTACATTAGAAATTAGATTGTTTTCGATCGCAATGGACATTCTGTAAACTCACTGAGAAGAGAGATATTCCAAGGAAACCTAATTTAATCTAACATTTATTCCTATATAATATTATATGATATAATGGGAAGGGGGAGATCCAAGTTCGACTTCTGGCTGAGGCAATATTTTTTGTAGCACTTAAATTAATTTAATATCATTAAAAAATGATGAAGTCGAGTGCGTATAATTAAAATAGTAGAAAATAATTGGATGAGAAACAGATATTAGGGGATTAATTCAATATGTTTGAATAATTTGGGATAAAAATTCGGCTTGACGCGGAAGGTTGATTCATCGCGCACGTAGCAAGTCCGAAAAATACTCAACACGTGCACTGAGAGAAAAATCTTCGGTATTTACAACTATAATCATATAAAGAAATAATTATTATAAATTATGGTCAACCATTTTTTAATCAATTGTACTATAATTTTAGTGATAAAAATCTTATATGCATGTTACTACCACTATTTTCGTGTTAGAACAACCAAAAATATAGTTGGTGTCAATTTGGGCTGCAACTATATTTTT